GCTTCCCAGTATAGTGGATAATATTTGACTTCTCGACCTATTTATGCGACAAGCATGAGAATTTCTTCCAGTAACCGTTTATGAAAACACTTCTGTTAAAACGGGCAAGATAAGGAGTTCATATATGAAGCAAGGAGCGGTTCAGCAAATACTCTTGAAGATGATGGCCCTAAATTAGACACAGAATCGAGGTACTTAGGAGATGATGAGCACAGAGTTGGCTCCACCCTAAATTTCCTTTATGGCTCTTGCCACAAGTAGCTAATAAAACTATTCTTTAAAAAAAAAAAAAAAAAAAAAAAAAAAAAAAAAAAAAAAAAAAAAAACAAAAAAAAAAAAAAAAAACCCCAAAAAACAAAAAAACAAAAAAACAAACAAACAAAAAAAACCCCTCAACAAAACAAAACAAAAAAAAAAAACCTCAACAACCTCCAAACACAGAGTAGAGAGCTCCCAGGGCTCTCCACACACAGCTCGAGTAAGATCCGTTACAGAAAACTTATCAGGGAAGGAGAAAAATCACATCGCACCATGGTATGTCTGGATGCTGAAAAAGGAAAAGACTAAAAACGTCTCTCCTGTTTCAACAGACCTCTACACATCGGCCATAGGACTCTTGTCTCCAGGCCTCCACAATGTGCACGGTGTTTTGACTCTCATAATTTGCAAGAACATGTAATCAAAACCACAGTTSCCCAGCCAAAATGCCTTTAACACCCACCATGATCAGATCATGTACGTTTATCAGGAAAGGAAATCGTATTTCTCTGCAAGGTTCAATAGCCTGACATTTCAGATTATCTCAGCAGTACTGGGTACACGAGAAGGGTACCTGGGTGGTGAAACATCCACATAACACTCACACAGGGGCTCACACCAAAGCCCGTGGCCACAGTTCCTCAGCGTAATTTCTCTGTACAGCAAACAAGGAAAATGCAATGAGCCACGACTGTGGGCCTCATAAAATAACTAGGATAAAAGAACTCTTAGACTGTATTAGATCTTTAGCAGTTTTCAAATAAACAGCTGCAAATTTTTCATCTGTCCTGTCTCTGCACAGAGAGATTTTTTTCAAATGAATACACATTATTCAACAGGAAAGCGACCTTTCCAGACATCTGGAAAGAAATAAAAGAAAAGCAACACACACAACCACTCCTTACCTGAGAATAATCAAAATAAACGTGGCACTACTAAGACAAACAAAATCCTCTCAAGTACATAAGTGATGTGCAGCTCTCCTAAGAATCCAGTTATCACAAAAAAAAGCTCAAAGAAACCATCATCATATTCCAGCAAAACACGAA